CCCAGGAGAAGAGAGGAAACAATTCTAAGAGACCCAAAAAAGGTAAGCAAGGCTTTGAATCGAGCCAAACCGCATTAAAAAAAATTTTTTTTAAGTTTATTCATTTTTGAGAGAGAGAGACAGAGCATGAGTGGGGGAGGGAGAGAGAGGGAGACACAGAATCCAAAGCAGGCTCCAGGCTCCAAGCTGTCAGCACAGAGCCCGACACAGGGCCTGAACTCATGAGCAGCGAGATCACGGCCTGAGCCAAAGTCGGACACTTAACCGACTGAGCCACCCAGGCGCCCCAAAACCGCATTTTAAAATGTCTCACTTCTGGCCTCTCTCCCTGTTACACCTCAAGCCTCACATGTTAAGTGGTCAAAATTCACCTCTGTCTCTCTCTCAGGTCGTAGTGCTTTGGCTTGTAGGAGGCTTCTGAAAAGTTCCGGAAGAGCGGAGAGACTTCCTGGCCTCAGTAAATCATCACATGACCACCTATAATTGATACTTCTCTGTTTTCAGTAATGACCGAGATGCCGTGGACCTCAGATTCACCAGGGCCAAACACCGCCCCCCACCCCCACTGCACCCACATCCACAGAGAAGTGGCCCCCTCTGTGCCCTGCCCTCAGTTCCAGGGGCAGACCTGCCATCCATCACAGGTGATGGCACGTACGTCTGTTCTGTAATGCTGGGATCTTTCTAGAATGCCCAGGGAGACAGTTGCTCCTGGCTGGCGGGAGCTCAGAGCCCCTCGCAGTGTAGTCCAAGAGAAGAAACCATTGGTTTCCCAGAGAAACCTTCCCCAAGTCACCTGTTAAGCACATACTGAAAGAAGGAAACAGGACAGTGCACAGGCAATGGCTGCATTTCACGCGGGGAATTATTATTTTTTCTTATTCACAGACTCTAACCATAAACGTCGAGCTTGGAAAACTCAATGAGAAACTGTTTCACATCCAGAGAAGCAGTATCTAAATCATCTGCGAAACCGTTTCCGCAGACTGTGGCTGCCAGAGAACGGGTATGTTTAAAAAGAGAACAAAAATGTAAAATTCTGCCCCTTGATCTACGAGACAACCTCTTGCGTTTGAACAGCCTGGGTTTATAAGTCTTCTGAGTGCGCGCATCTCCTGGGGCCAACCTGATGAAAAGAAGTCGGGGGGCTCGGTCGGGCACGATGTGGCCCCCAGCCCCGCCTGCAGTACTTTCTCTCCTCCCCTTGGTCCCCCCGCCACCCCACAAGTGTCCTGTGCACACCTTGCACCGCTCAGGCCCCAGTCATTTTGCTACATGCGCCCAGATCATCCTTCTCCACCCTTGTCTGTGGGGCCAGCTTCCGCTCCAATTCAAGACCTCACCTGGGACCCCATCTCAAGGTCCATCTCTGCTGGACTCGGGGGACACTTCTCTGCCTCCCTCAGGGGACTCTGAGCTCCCCCACAGCAGCAAGGCAGATGCCCATCCCCAGCAACGTGTCCCAGGGACCAGCATGGGCCACAGTGCTGCTCAGAAAGGACGACTGTCCGCACAGAAGGGACACTTACTCCAGCTAACAGGTGCCGTGAGCTCGCTGTGCACTCCAGGCACCACTCTCAGACATTTCTTTGCAAAATTCATTCGATTCTCAACCCCAAACCCAAGAGGTAGGTACCTCTTACCAGCCCCACCCTGGTGAGGAACCCGAAATTCAAACTGGCTAAACAACTTTTCTAAACCCACACAGCTGGCAGGTGTCGGACGTAGGATTTGGACCTGCAAAACTCAGAGCCTATGGCTCTCACCACTACTCAGCTCTGCTTCTCTGGACACGGCATGCTTTTTCCATTTCTGTTTTAGAGATAAATGGAACAGAAAAGCCAAATTAAATCATTTGTCCCCGCAAGACCACTCCACTAATGTAAAAATAAAGACATCATTAGGTCCCATGTGTTTTGACTCCTTCTGATTCTTTTTTCAGTATATCCTACTTCATTGTCTAAGCATACATTTTTCTTTCTTTTTGCTTCCTTAGAACTACGTACAGGTGATGGAAATTAGGTCTGGATGATTGTATGCAAACAGCACTGTTAAAACTTCCTTCATTGTTGTACCTGCAGAGGGCGCCCTACCTGGGGTGGAGAATACTCCTCCTCCCCTTGAAGGTGGGCTGGTCTTGCACTTTGGGGAAGGGACCCCTTGGCAGTTACCAGCCCAGCCCTTTAGAGACCTAGAATCTCCTCTCTCTCTCTCTCTCTCTCTCTCTCTCTCTCTCTCTCTGTGAACTGAGCTACCGTTTAAGAAGATAGACCACTCAGCTGGAGACGGGACCTCAGCTGTTGCCTTGGGCAGTCGAGCATCCCAACCAAGGGATCAGACATGTGAATGAAGACGTCAACCATCTAACCTCTCTGCAGAAATCTCAGCTCAGGGCAACACATGTGTGACCTGGCTGAACCCAGGCGACTGAAAACATCAAGAATAAATCATCATCCTAAACCGCGAAGTTTTGGTGTTCTTGGTGCTGCTGCCATATCTAACTAAACATGATACAATCGGAAATTCACCTTGAGTAAGCAACCACACATGCTGTCTCTTCTTCATGCAGGAATCCTTGTTGTGACTGTCGCTGGCCTCTCTGTTAGCAGTCTGATCTAAATATTATGCTCCTATAAAACCCAAGGGCACAGCAAGCGTACCCTAATTATCCCCGCATCCAACAAGACCAAAGAAGAAAAAGCAACCTTTTTTTCCTCCCCCAAACTGCATTTCATTTTTCTCTTCTCTGTTTCTGTGGTTCAAGTCCTCCTTTCTCCAAGCCGCCTGCTGGTGGGGACTGCCAGCCCCAAGAGAAGGCTCCACTGGTGACAAGGAGTTGAGCTCAGGCTCTAGAGTCACAGGGGAGGAACGGCGTCCTCGTCGGCTACCTGGGGATGGCTGTCGGCAGGGGGGCTGGGGTGCCAGCCCCACCAGATTTCTGCATCCCAGCCTCGTCCTGAGAACAGACCTGGCCTCGTGCCCCAGATCATGTAGCCACTCACAGGTCAGACTGACTGGGCACTTCCTTTGTGCCAGTTCCTATCCTGGCAATTGACATTTGTACTCTCTGTGGATGTGAAATGTCCTCCTTTATCGTCTCTAAGACAAGAACACTACAGAGGATGGATTTTTATCCTCATCCTTTTCTTTTAATTGTTTATTTATTTATTTTGATGGGAAGAGAGAGAGAGAGAGAACATGGGGAAGGGGGAGAGAGAGACAGAGGGAGAACATGGAGAAGGGGAGAGAGACAGAGAGAGAAAGAGAACATGGGGAAGGCGGAGAGAGAGAGAGACAGACAGACACAGAGAGAGAGAGAGAATGAATCTCAGCAGACTCGCACTGTCAGTGCAGAGCCCGACGTGGGGCTCGAACCCATGAACCATGATCTGAACCCAAGACCAAGAGTCGGATGCTTAACCAACTAAGCCACTCAGGTACCCCTATCCTCGTTATTCAGCTAAGGAAATAAAGTCCAAGTTGCCAACTCCTGGGGTTACACACAAGTTCATGCAACGTCAGGTTCCTACTCTCTCAGCCAATTCCAGCGACCTTCATCTGGCAGAACTTGGGACGGAGACAGCGCTCACCAAGCAGGGCACCGCAGGCTTCCTGAATGCACACGGGACACGGGAGACTTGGTCTCAGCTGCCTGATTTCTTCGCCAGAGAGAGGAGCAGAGTGGAAGACACGGAACACCGTGGCAATGCAGTGACTTATTACTTAATGCTGGACTCTGCCCAGGGCCGGAGGAGGAGCAGGGGGTCTCCGGTATCTTTCCTTTTAGAGCCCACAGGCTCTGCCCATAAACCAGCGGCAATCTGTGATGTCCTCTTGGGTGGCCTGAGCAGCCTGCTCTGCCCTGCCCCTCCCCTGCCTCCCCCAGGGTGGAGGTAAGCCTACCCGGCTGGCTGGTCTACACTCCCAGTACGCGCCAATCTGTGGGTATTTAACTACATTCGATTTTTTTTTTTTAGAGAGAGAGAGGAAGAACAAGCAGGGGAGGGGCACAGAGAGAGGGAGACACAGAATCCGAAGCAGGCTCCAGTCTCTGAGCTGTCAGCACAGAGCCCGACACGGGGCTTGAACTCACAAACCACGAGATCATGACCTGAGCCAAAGTCGGACCCTCAACCGACTGAGCCACCCAGGCGCCCGAGCTGAATGCAATTCTATTCACCAGAGTATCATTGCCAATAATGAAGAGGCCCAATTACCAGGGAAATTCCAAAAGGAATTTTTTGAAGGATACCAATGACCAGAGCTTTTGACTCTACCAGATCAATGTCCGCAATAATCTTTACTACCTTTATTTGTATCTTTAAAGTTCAGCCAACTTTCCATAATTCCGTCTTCTTATCTCCTTACTTTCTCTCTACTCCACCCCAACATCTTTCTCCTTCTAGAAATATGATTGATCCACGCATCCTCCCAAATTGACTAACGTATTTCATCTTGGCGCTGATCCTCATTTCTTGTGTAAGAAGCTCCATATTTTGGACTCAATACCCTATCGCACTGAGCACCAGCAGGGAGCCCCGGATGCCCCCTAATACCCAGCCTTCTCAAAGCTAGAAACTGGGCTGTCCTTGGCACTCCCTCTCCCAAAGCTGGAGTGTTGATCTTGACTCCCGCCTTGTGTCTGAGAAGAACCATTAACCTGCCAGCTTACTCGGTCTGATTCTCAGGACTGACAACAGGATTCTTCCTACCCACTTGCTGGAGGCCGGCTGCCGTCCTTTTTCTCCCTGACTTGACCCTGGCCAACCCCTCACAGCCAGGTTATCCCTGGGAGAGGGTGTTCTCCTTCAGCCGGGCTCCATCATGCACACATGGCCACGCCAACAGTGGGTCTCCATTTCCAAAATGCACACATCAGACACGCAACATGACTTACTGATGCTACCATGTACGTTGCACCCTGCCACGCCCTGGCATGTAGTGAGAAATGACGGTTTACTGGTGGAGAATAAGCACCCCACTCCCATCCCGCTGCTCACCTGTCTGCCCGACGACGGAGGCGCTCAGTCTGTGGGGGATCCTTGAGGACACCTTCAAGGTCACTCGGATCTGGTAATACCTATGGAAGGAACAGAGGACAGGCTGATGAAGATCAGACCCCTTACTGTTGGCTTCTTCCAAAAGTAACCAGACTTAGTCCTAAATGCCACAGAGAACCGTGGAAGTTTCTAGGCAGCATGTATGATCATTTGGCACCAAAGAGGGATTCATTCTGTCACCACAGTGGGAGAGGGATGGGACGGGGCCAAGATGGAAACAGGAAGTTGAGTTGACAGGAGATCGTGCGAGACACATGCAAGGTTGGTGGCAGAAGGGACAGGGAAAGGAATAGGTGGGTTGGTCATAGGGCACAGGTACATTAAGGGGCATGGTTTTTCTTTAGTCAGAAAAGTCCATTCTAAGGGAAAATGGAAGCTTTAACGCGTGGGGCGGAATCTATACACAAACTGAGTTGCTGTCCTGTTGCAACACAGACAAATACTTCCTTTAGAAACACAAGAGCTGAGCTGTCGATCCTGGGGGTACAGCCAAACGCTGTTCCCAGTGCATTTCTGTGCCCTTATTTTTAACACGTCACTCCCATTTCCAAATCCCATCATTTCAGGACACTGTGCGGGTTCCCACGCCATCAGCAAAGCCTCTGATCTGTCCGCTGCCTCCACAGGTGCAGAAGCATCTTTTGCAATTCCGTGCCTTGCAATTAATGGCCCTTTTGCTCGCAAGCTCTTAGGAACATTTCTGGCGTCATAATTGTTCTCCCCTTCCACCAATTTCAAGCTCATTGTGAAACAGAATGTGCATAAAACCAAGTGAAACAGAGGTAAAATGGACCATGAACACATCCATCTCTGATGGCTCACTGAGCTTGTGGCCGGGGGCGATGCTGCGTGCTGAATATCCCCCCAGGAGGTTCTGTTGATGGTCTTGTGTTCGTTTTATGTGTGTGTGGAGAGTGGAGGAGATGCGGAACACAGAGCACTGGGACCAGAGTCACAGCTGGAGTTTGGGTGACCTCACTTGTGAGCTGGGTGACTTAGAAGATACCACACAGCTTCTCTGAACTTGTTTCTGCGTCTGTAAAAGGATGACTTAAAAAAAAATATATCTGCCATGACATCTGCTTCCAGGAAAGATGGAGTGGATATAATTTTCCCACCACATACGACTAAAACCTCTAGACAATATAGGTGAACACAAGATATTTGCAGAAGAAGGAATCAAACAGTCTAAGGACCTCAAGTACCAAAGAGAGACAGGGTGGTGAGTTCTCCACATTTTCTTTTTGCCTCACATGTCCCAGAGAGAAGCCAGCTATCCAGAGATTCTAGTGGCTGCAGACAAAAAAAAAAAAAAAAAAAAAAAAAAAAAGAAAAGAAAAAGAAAATCCCCAACAAAAATGCCTGCTTCCTCTAGACAAAAAACCAGAAAGGGGGCAGCCAAGCACGACAGAAAACTTTTAGCCAATAGTAGTTGTACTCCAGCCACACTACACACAGAAACTGTGGTCTCACCTCCGTCCATCCCGGCAAAGGCCAGTGGGAGCCTCGAGGTCCACTCCTACCAAAGCTTTAACAAGGCACCTTCCTCGCCCAGCAAGAGAAGGTCTTTGAGAAGGGGGCCAGAATTTCACTACTAATGGATGGTAAGGAGAACCTCAACAACCCTGGTTTAAGTACAGACCATGTGGGGGGGCCTGAGTTTCTACCCTCCTCCCTCTGCAGTAACAAGGGCACAAATTTGCTCAAAGGATTTCTGACAAAGTTTCAAAAGCAATTCAATGGAGGAAAGGTGACCTTCTCAGCCAATGGTCCTGAAGCAACTGGACATCCGTAGGCAGAAACCAAACCAAAACCAAACAAAAAGCTCCACTTAAATTTCACACCTTACGCAAAAATGTATTAATTCAAAGTGGATCATACACTTATAGGAAAAAAATGTAAAACTATTAAACCTTTAGGAAAGAAAATAAAAGAAAGCTTTAAAATCTAGGGACAAGGGCGCCTGGGTGGGTCAGTCGGTTAAGCGTCAGACTTCGGCTCAGGTCATGATCTCACGGTTCATGAGTTAGAGCCCTGCGTCAGGCTCTGTGCTGACAGCTCAGAGCCTCAAGCCTGCTTCTGATTCTGTGTCTCCCTCTCCCTCTGCCCCTCCCCTGCTTGTGTGCTGTCTCACTCTGTCTCAAAAAATAAATAAACATTACAAAATGTTTAATAAATTAAAAAATAAAATCTAGGGATAAGAGTTCTTAAACTTGACCCCAAAAGCATGATTCACACACACACACACACACACACACACACACACACACACACACACACACACAAATTGATAAACTCGACTTCATCAAAGTTAAAAACTTTTGTTCCGCAAAATGTGCTATTGAGAGGGTTATATTATGACAAGCTACATGTGAGAGAAAATATTTGCAAATCACATGCCGTTGGCCATAATTACTTATGGATTCTGTATCTGTGGATCTGCCACTTGTTAAAGTTCATCTGTAACTTCGCACTCAATACTCACGGCCTCTGTGGTCACCCAGACATGCTCCTGGGGAGAAAGGTCTGACTCACCTCACGCGCATGTTTCCACCTGAGATCGAGCTAAGGCAATACTACCTTCTTTTTTCAGTTCTCATGGTGTAAACAAATTTTGTTTACAGTCTACTTGGTGCCACTTTTTATTTTGTATTTTTGTGCTTTTTGTGGGTGACTCTGCTATTTAAAATGACCCCTAGCAGTGTAACTCAGGCCTGAATGAAGCTCGTCTAGCACACTGTAGTGCCATCCAATGTCCCTAACAGCAAGAAGGCTGTGATGTGCCTTGCAGAGACAACAGTGTATTAGATGAACTTCATTCAGGCCTTAGTCACAGTGCTATTGGCCATGAGTTCAAGGTTAGTGAATCAAAAGTAGATAGATAGATAGATAGATAGATAGATAGATAGATAGATGATAGATAGATAGATAGATAGATAGATAGATAGATAATGGATGGATAGATAGATAGGTAGATAGATGATGGATGGATGGATGGATAGATAGATAGATAGATGATAGATGGATGGATAGATGATAGGTAGATGACAGATGATGGATGGATGGATAGACAGATTGATTGATAGATAATAGACAAATGACAGATGGATGGACAGTTAGATGATAGATAGATAGATGGTAGACAGACAGATAATAAACAGATAGCAAACACTGCCTTAAACAGAAACACACCTAAAACAAGGTTAGGTATTGATCAGTTGACAAACAAGTTGTGACCAGAGGCTCCCAACTCCCAGCTCTATATTTCCTTGAGGAGCAATGGCTCATCACACAGAGGCAGTTTACTACCATTGTGGGATCCCCAGAGGGGCACAATAACAAGTAACCTCACTCATCTGGGTGAGGGAGACTAAGCCAGAGAAGAAAGTCCCTGCCCTGTCCGTAGCAGACAGCTGGTCCTCAGCAGTTGCTAATTACCACTGTGCAAAGATGCTGATTGTGTACCGTTAGATCTTTCAGGTTTTCCAGGGAAGATTGAAATTGGGATTTTTGATAAAACATCTTTCAAATGTTAACCGTTGCTTCATAAATTAATGACAGTGACAACAGCAAGAGCGAAACCATTGGAGGCAGCAACCATGGCCACCGCATTCACAATCAAGCGCTGTGTCAACACATTTGCAGGCTAACTCCCCTGGCGTCACCAATCGGCAAACTCTGATTTATACAAATACAAAATGTCACTTCTAGTGTTTAATAAAAGACCTATGCATTTCCATAATTTCATCATCAAAAGAAGAGAGGCAAATCCCATGTACTATCAGTTTTGATATTCTAATGTCTTCTTCTCTGAACACGAAATGGGTCAATCATCGCCAGAGGCTACGCATCACGACTCTGTCAGGCTGTGCTTGGAGCAGTTATGCATCAGGAGCCCCGATGTATGCAATCTTGTTGGGTCCTCTACAAATCCTCTGTGAGAGAAAGGACCATCCCAGCTGCTAACCAGAGCGGACACTGGGCCACTGGAAACACCCAGCTACCGACCCAAAGTAGTAATGCTAGCAAAGGGCAACCAGCATTCCTTTCCAGAGATGAAATGTATTTTTTTTTTTATTTTTAGCCTGCCACCCCTCACATTTTACTGCATAAATTAAAACCTTTTATAACTAATTCCAAAGCACTGTCTGAGTTCTTATTCCTTAAAATCATTTGGTGTTGCCGAATCTTACTTCAAGGAATCAGTCATCATTTTGAACTTCAGATGCTTTACAGGCACTTATTGAAAGAAATAAGTTTCAATGAGACTGGCTCAATTGGGCTCTGCTCTGATTAAACAGAATGCTTAAACCCCTTTAATAATTCTCTTCAATCTGACACGAATTTCTGCCAGGTCATAAATCCATAAACCATGTGTCAAACATGACATACATTATATCATTTCATCCCTGCAGGAAATCTTTGATATGCTTACTGTGATTTCATTCTTAAAGATGAGCAAACTACCCTCTGGAGATGAAGGGATTTGTCCAAGCTCACACATTCAATAAGTAATGTTAGCACATCTCCAGGAATGACCTGATTATTTCCCACATGGATTTCCCTTAACCGTCTTAGAGCCACCTTCTTCTGGCTGGGGTCGTTCAAGGAAGACACTGTGAAGGAGGGAGGAGTTAGTTTAAGTCCTTGGAGGATACGCAAGTGATGGGAGAGCAAGTTCCAGTCAGAAGGAAGAAAGAAGCTAAGACCAGGAGATAGAAACTTCCAGACGGTATGCTAGCATGCTCCAGTGGTGTAGACTTGCAGAGAACTCCTTTTGGGAAATAAATAAATCTAGTCATCTTTTACTTTATTGGCTTCCATCTATAAGAGTGGCATAAACTATGTCCTTTACATAATGTGGTAGCAGAATAATGCCCCTTCCCAAGGCGGTCACGTCCTAATCTCCAGAACCAATAAAAGAGAGTTAAGATTGCAGATGGAAGGAAGGTTGCCAACCACCTGGCCTTGAAATTAGATTATTCTTTATTACCTGGGTACACCCAAGGTAACCACAAGG